GATAAGTATATAGATATTAAAAGTATAACTACAAAAAACCAGAGAATTTATTAGTTAAAATAACGGTTTATTTAATTTGTTTGTACTGGAACTTGCTGTAATTTGTTTTCCTCCGTCTATATTTACCTGTTATATGACAAATGTATTTTGTAATGTTTTTTGTAGCTTTTGATTACTAGAATTTTACAAAATGTCCAAAATTTGAAAGTTCGACCCTGTTGGTAATTTTGCATACATTTTTCACCAAAAAGACAAATTATCGAAAATTTCTATAAGTTTTTATGAGCTTTAATATCCAAAAACGGTGTAAAAGTCTATAAAAATAGTCTATATTTTACCATAAGACCGTACAGGATTACTGAGAAACCCCCCTCCGCTAACAGTCAAGTACCTTTTTTTAGGATATGTGCCTATGTGGTCTTCTTTCTATCCCTCGTTCCGTGCAGCTGATTTGCGCGATTGAGGTGGGTTTCTAAAACGTTTTTAAAATAAAATGTTTTTAAAAGTGTTTTTATTAAAATTCATTAAATTGCAGGTATTTTTCTCCGTGGTCCTATTGATCCAATCCGGTGATCTTCTACGCATGGATGGAACCTATTTCTACTTTTTGGGCCTTTACGATGGGAAGGGATGGGCTTTCTTCGCCACACATCTGAGTCGTACGTTTTTATACGTCCACCAGCGCCCAAAACCCGCTTCGCGGGCCTTGGGCGCTGGAATGCGGCCTTTGCATGAAAAATTTGACTTCCCGATAGCTCGGGTCCTTCGGACCCCTTCCCCCCACCGGCCACACACGCGAGTGCAACTGGCAAGAATGAGGGCATTTGTATTTTTCCGCATTATGCTAATTAGCCCTCAGGGACCCCCAAAAATGAATAAAACCGGCTTTAACTTTGTAAACTTGTATTCTATCGCAATTTTGACAACGCCATCGGAAACAGAAGGGTCGATTCCCCCGGGTGACGGAGAATTAGGGCATTTTATACACGGGAAGGCCTTCAAATCGGGCCTCGAAAGTGACATCCACACACACACACACACATACGCGCCAAAATTATATAAGGTAGGATATGCTTCCGGTTTCCCCTTTCACCCCAGACAATAAAGCATTTCAGTAAGTATCTCGTGCATATTAACGTCCGCTATATTACAAATTGGCCTAAAAATTCGGAAGCCATCGATGGTTATTCCACATTTAATTTGGCAGGTATGGCAATGGTAGGAAATTCTGCAAAAACATAGTTTCAGGTAATCTTTACGTTTTTCTGCTTTGCCACCATCTCCGGGTTAATGTATTTGGGTATTACCTCTCAAATGTTGATGCCATCAAGTGTGGTATTGTCTATAATGCTTTTAATACCAGGTAAGGTAGTTTATACTTTTTAATTAACCTCCTTTTCAGGATTTTTTGAGATCTGGTGGGCATACCTAACTTATCAGCTCGTCCGTCAGATGTATTTTACGGAAGGTCCTGAAAAAGACGAAAGACCAGCTGAGGAACCCTGCTTTTATTCCACTGAAATTTAAAGATATCTGCGAATTATCGTCTCGATTTTTATTTGTGATTGTAATACGAGTCGCTATATCCTCAGCACTCTGAATTTTATAAAATAAAATTTTCTATTGCTATAAAAGTTTGAATTTACCTGCAACAGCAAAGATTAAAAATCCGCCGAAATACAAGGGGCTAAAAGAGCAAGGTCATCCTCAAAGTAGGTTTGCTCATTCGGGCGTGCAGATCGGGATCACGGGATCAGCACGAAAAATGGATAGTTCGCTAAACGATCGTTCAAACAATTTTTGGTCTGACTAGATGGTGGTATCTAAACAGGAATCCATAGTGACTGGCTATGCAACAACCCTATTCTGCTGCTCCCTAGATGCTGTAAATCCTTTAAGACATCTGTATTCGCCAAAGCCGGCTAAAGATCATTGTTGTATTCTATAAAAGGAGGCTGCTAGTGATATAGGACAACGCGGCTCATTTGCCTAAGATAGACATGGTGCGGATTAGCCTGTTGGTTGTTGTGTTCTGTAAGTTTTGTCGTGTTATACGATTTTAAGCTTGTAAGGTAAGGCATATGGTTGTAAGGATACCTTAAGGTTATGAAAATTGTCAGTATTTGCAAAATACTTTCATTTAGGCTTATTCCTTCTCGTGGCTGTTGAATCGAAAGGAGGCGGAGGAGGAGGAGGCGGTGGTGGAGGAGGAGGTGGTCGTGGAGGTGGAGGAGGAGGCGGAGGTGGACGAGGAGGTGGAGGTGGAGGAGGCGGCAGAGGTGGTGGAGGAGGAGGAAGAGGAGGTGGAGGTCGTGGAGGCGGAGTTGGAGGCCGAGGATGGGGTGGAGGAGGTGGCAGAGGTAAGTAGGTTCTTAAAAAAACCATGTGGTACCAATCTAGTACATTTTTATATTGTTTATTTTAGGTTGGGGCGGTCGTGGAGGAGGAGGACGCGGAGGCGGTAAGTATTGTTATTTTAAGCGTCAGCTTTCGGGAAAAATATGGGATTTAAGCCGTTAATTAAGTTGTTTCAGGCTTGTGGGGTCATGGCGGTGGTGGTATGTTTAAAACTTAACTTTATTTTAGGTTTGAAAAATATAGGTTTCAATTTTGGTCTTGTTTAGGCTGGGGACATGGCGGTAGCGGCGGCGGTGGGGGATGGAGACGACCCTGGTGGCGAAGAGGAGGATGGGGTAATTCTTTCAAAATAAAAATAATATTGCTTTTCTTGTTGTTTCAGGTGGCGGCGACACTTCGTCCTACTACGGTGGCGGAGGCGGAGGTGGATTCGGTTTGGGTCTTTTCCGAGGAGGTTTATTCAACCGAGGCTATCAAAGTAAGAATCAAAACTGAAAAAATCTAACTTTCGATTCTTTTAGATTACGGAGGAGGACAATGCCAAAGTGAGTGACAATTTGCTGCTGTGAAAAACGTTCTTAAATGCTTAAGGTTTTTTACAAAAATTTTAAAATTTTGGTAGCACCTTAAAAACTGATTTCAGCTGTTGGCTATACGCGCAGCCTATTTATGATGCGTACCCAATGCTACTGCCCTGGTAGAGGATATTTTACAAGGTTGGGCGGCTGTCCAGCGTTCGGTGGAGGATTGTTTGGTTGAAAAATGTGATCTCTATCGAGACTAATCAGGATTAATAAACTTATCCTTAAAAATTACTATAATACACACAAACACAAACATAAGATCCGCTTTAAGCAGGAGCGACGCATTTTGGTAATCTATGTTCTTATTTGCCCCAAATCCATTCCAGTACAGCGAACTTAATGTCTACACCTTGTTTCCAACCCAAACCGATCTAAGCCACCCTCGATGGTTCGCTGAACTGGCTGTTGATCGTTTAGCCGCTCCAAAAAGAAACCCTTTTGCCCGGATATCCATAGCAGATTGTGGAGCAAGCAGCACAAAGACCGGCTAAAGGGCTAGAAGGGGGAGGTATAGGGGATATTCGCTGAATCTGAGGTCGGGGCACAGATCAATCTTGCACAGATATAACATGCCCCTAGAACAGCTTGAGCATCGGACTAGACCCAATAGGGCATTCGCACAATATGGTCAACTCTTGTTTTGCTGTATTTGTTGTCGGTGGGTTTTGTTTGAGGAGCATTAAGCTGTTTTAATTTAAGTTTATTTGCTATTTTTGTGATTTGGCCATTTTTACCTTACCGATATAAGAATTCCAGTTTTTGAGGTAAACGTTGCTTAACGGGGGAGCGGAATAAACGGGGGCGGAAACAACTTTTGTAGTTCTAAAAAATTTTGCTATGTTGGAAACGCCATTGGCTAGAGCGTCAAAAATCATAGTAAGAGATTTAATTTATTTTTTATAAGCTTAAAGACGAAGTTTAAAAAATGGCCTTTCGGGCTGAAATTAAGTCTCTTAGTATTTTTCGCAGCCCTGCCCGATGGCATACTTCAATAGGTACAGAATTTGTTTCCACCCTGCGCTATTTCGTTGCCCCCCGTTAAGCAACCCTTACTGTTATAGCAAGTAGATATTTAGAATACCGCAATTCAGTCATATCGTAACCAATAACGGTATCTACCTACCCTAAAGCATTTTTCAAAGTTATCTACTCAAAAATAATCCCATTTGACTGAATTGAAACTGATATCCATGAAGTAGCCAGTAGAAAGCGGCTGACGAAAAATCGGCAAAAAGTGGATTCATGAAAATTGCAAAATGTGATAAGCTCAGCCTTTATATCGTGAATTTAAGTAACTTATAAATCTTTCAGGGACATGCCTCCTGGTGGCACTGGACGCACATGGCGGCGGTGGTCACAGCAGTGGTGGTCATAGCAGTGGTGGTCATAGCAGTGGCCACAGTAGTGGTGGCCATAGTCATGGAGGTACTATTGTTATATTAAACATATAAAAATATTTTTACAGGTTGGGGCGGCGGGCATCATGGAGGTAACCATACTTAAAAGTCGTTTTTAGAAAAATTCAGGGTTTCTTAAAACTAAAAATTTTAAATCTAAAAAAACATTTCTATCTGAATTTTGTAGGCGGAGGTTGGGGACATCATGGTGGTTGGGGAGGTGGCTGGGGACATCATGGTGGCTGGGGTAAATTTGTGTTCTCTTATTCAAATTTAATTTATTTTAGGTTTTGGCCGCCCGTGGGGATGTAAGTCAACTTGAATCAACTTTCTACTAACTCTAAAAATGTAATTTTATCTGAACAAGTATTTTAGTGCACAACTGGGGCTCCTCATCGGGGAGCAGCGGATCCGGATATGGATACGGCGGTATAAAATTTTTTTTTATTGCGTTATTTCGATGTTTAGGCGGGCTTTTTGGCGGCCTTTTTAATCGCGGGTACAACCAAAGTAAGGAGCTGACGATTTTTCTAAATTTCGTTTGTTTAGATTATTACGGAAATGGATATAGCTATGGAGGCTATGGAGGATACGGAAACTACGGTGGATGCCAAAGTCGGTTTTTAAAAACTAAAATCGTTATTTTAATTATTTTTTTTAGCCGTCGGCTACACGCGTGGACTATTTTTAATGCGAAATCAATGCTATTGCCCGGGTCGCGGCTATTTCACCCAACTCGGTGGATGCCCAGCTTATGGATAAGAAAAACTGGAGTTGAATTTTCTTTTCTTGTGAATACCAGTTGTTCATCACCGCATTATTTTGCATCTACCTTTCCCTTTCACCTCTCGCCTTTCTCCTCATCGAACAAATCGTTGTGATCTCGGTCGCGCTAATAAAACTACCCCCTCTCGCATTCAATGACCTGGCCTCGTATGACAACCAAAAAACCCGCCAGGAGCAGCACTCGCTCGCTAAACTGGTTTATAATTTTCGTGTCCGCTTCAACCCACAAAACTGGGCCATGGGGTGTAACGGGCTGTTTTCGAATGTACTATTTTTTGGACTCCGCCGTTAACGCCAGAAAGCCTTTGCCTTTATGTCAGCGCTTTTTTATTAAGATACAGCAGGTATGATCTGCAATTTGCATGTCGACTCTGCGGAATTCATGGCAACTTCGATTCGATATTAAGGTCCTTAATAAAAGATAAATTTTTTTTATAGCATTTTACAAAGTTTTTAGCAATAAAAACTAAAAAACATCATAATTTTCGCAAGTTTTGATTTTTTGGTTAAAAATGTAGGAAAAATGGGTACACATAGGGTAACGGGGGGGGGGATAAAATAACGGGGGCACTCATTATTATGAAATTTGCAATTACTGAGGGATTCTGCAAGTGCCATTCGATAGAGCGTCGAAAAATATACTAAGAGAATTAATTTGAGCCCAAAATACTGTAATGGAAATTTTTTATTGAATAAACAAAAATTGAGGAAAATCTATGGGCAGCACATAGGATAACGGGGGAATTTGCGGCGTTTTGAATATTTTCGATATTTTGAAAATGCCATTCGATAGAGGACCAAAAAATATACTAAGAGTTTTTTTACAGCCCGAAAAAAAGCATATTTAAAAATACTTTTATCATATAAAAAGTTTGAGTGCCCCCCGTTATTTTTCCCCCCTGTTATCTTATGTGTACCGAAAAATGAACAAAATAGAGTAATATTTTCGAATTTTAAAAATACTTGAAATATTTTTTAACTTTCCTGCAATCAGACACTCCGAAAACGTTTAAAAATGCACTATTTATTATTAACAATTAAGTATGAGCGGAAAAACAAAAATTAACTTCCCTTTGCTAAAAACCCTGCTGAATACCATCTCTGAATAGAACATCTATATTTCCTACCCATCGCACCCTCCTATCTGAAACATATCAGGTTTGCATACGTATTCCCATTCCCTCTGCACATTGTTTTCAAGGACCCAGGCACTGTCCGTCAAGAGGAGTGTCGTGTAGCGTGTGGCTTCTGACAGCAGCTTTTCTTGGAGCTGAAGAAAAAGAGGGAAAGAGAGGGTTGAGGACAAAGACCTGCGCGTGAGAGCACGTCAAACATACCCTCCTCGATTCTCTCGGGAAAGACCACCACCAGGTCCTATACATAAATTCAATTGTTTTTCGGGTCTGTTTCCTTGTACTAGGCTAAAATTATAACCTAAATACCGTATTTTCTTTACACTAAGTCCCAGATTTCTCTCTCTCTCTCTCTCTCTCTCTCTCTCTCTATTTCTCTCTATCTCTCTGCCTGTATGCAATTCTAGGTTCTTTTGCATTATCGGGGGGAAGGAGGGCATTTCATTGAGGGACCTAAGCTTTTGTATCAGCCTGGAACTGTCTAGTAACTGAATAGGCAGCATTTTAATAGTGTTTTGAATAAAAATAAATATATTTAAAGAAGAAAATGTATACGAGTTGAATTTTTGGTAAAAGCGGCCATTGTTGGCCAAAAAAATGGTGTTTTTATATTTTTAGTAAAAATGTGTACAGTTTTGTAGGTTTTGGGTTTCTAAGTTTTTTAAGAATACTAAAAAACTACTTAGAAACACTACCACTAGTTATATTTGAAAAACTAGATGAAGAAAAAATTCGAAAAGGTTTTTTCTCCTCGTCCCCCTGATAATGCAAAAGAACCGATCATCGCTAAAAATTCTTTTGATTTTTTCGTACTTACCACCCATCCACGCTACACGTTTTCCTAATCTTCTTGGAACACTTTTCTCACTCCCCTCGATCCTTAGGCTGAAACCCTCGGGAACATTTTTTTAATTTCACCGATTCTGCATCAGAACCCATAAAACGGCTTTTGGTGCAGACAAATAAGGTCGAGTGGACTCCTTTTTCCACGACTCCCCCATTGGACCACAAATCCCCTGTGGAGTGAGAGTTATTTCCATCAATCCCGCCCGTCTCATTCAACTTCCACGCGCCTGGCCTTCATCCATTATGAAACCCCGTGATATTTTGCCAATTGGTTACAAAAACCGGGAATTTTCGTGCTGGCAAAAACTGGAAAATATGATGTGATGCAAACAAGTACGAGGGATGAGAATAGGAATTCTGGTTTTTGAGGTAATGGTTGCTTAACGGGGGGAGGGAACCAACGAGAGTGAAAACAGCGTGTGTGTAGCGTTAAAAGTTATCCTGTTATTTTGGAAACGTCATTGAATAAAGTATCAAGGATTCGAGAACAGGAATTAAAGTTTTTGGGGTAAAGATGGCTTAAAGGGGGGAACAAATTTTTGTTTTTTTTAATGCTATCATAGCATTTTGAAAACGCTATCGGATAGGTCGTCAAAAATTATACTAAGAGCTTTGATTTTAGCCTGAAAAACCTTATTTCCAGCGATTTTTAATTAATTAAGCTTTTTTAGCTTAACAAAGTAATAATTTAAAATAAAGGTATTTCGGGCTAAAATTAAATATATTAGTACAATTTTCGATGCTTCATCCGATGGCATGTTTGACTTGGCACAACCAGTCCTCAACAGGGAAAGGTTGTTTCGACCCCCGTTAAGAAACCTGTACCGTATTAACAGAACCCAAGCAGTCACTTCCGCTGTTTTTGCTTGCTTGACCCGGCCAAAATTTGTTTTCGAACCGTGGAACACCATAAATCTGGGCCGCAAGTGGAAGCGGTTCCGGTCAAATTTCCGCGGATGATCCATCATAAACTTTGCTCCGGAGTTTTTTATAAGGACTTAAAGTTTGTAATTTTCGGTCATTTGGGGTAGAAAACTGGCTGTAACTTTTTATCTAGAGGGGTTCCGCAACTTTTGAAAACGGATTCGGAATCAGCGAAAAATTCTGCACAAGATGTGCTATCTCACGTATCGAAATCCCACGGTCAACAAAAAACGGTTACAGTTAGTGGCGTGTGTTCCCCCAAAAAAGTCGGTTTTCCCTACAGCAAGTACTGATAGGTGGGAGCATAAATCTGGTAGTTGAAAGTGTGCTTTGAGACTACAAGGGCACAATCAGATAAAGAGAAAATACTGCTTTTTAGGAACTAACAATTAGACGGTTTTGAGTATTTTTAGTGGGTTTCGAAAAGTGACTGAGCCTATTTTATGCAGAATTTTTTACTGATTAAAACTTCGTTTTTTGAATCTACAAAACTACCACAATAATAAAAATATAAAGCTTTAAAGGGCGAAAACGGCCAATTTGGCCATCTAAGGCATTTTTCATGCTTTAGCGCTTCGTAACTTTTAAAATATGGTCGTTTTGGAAATTCTAAAACGTTCGTTTTGATTAGGAAAAAATTCTGCACAAAATAGGCTTGGTTCCGTCTAAAAACTCCGTCCCATCCAGAAGTTTTCCATGTAAGTCAGGTTTTCCAAAGACCCCCTCGACCCCCTAAATCCTGCCATTTTGCTACAATATTCTCACAACAGCCCGGTGCCACCTTGCACCACTGGATAACTCAAAATTCCCCAGCGTGACCCCAACCAAATCCACCGTTATTATTGGGCAAATACTCGGGATCCTCAAAGTCATCCTCCCCGAATCTTGGCCTCCACAAATGCACATGATTGGCCACTCACCCAAATCCACCGCCGATTGCACGATAATTTTCGCAATTTCAAGCGGTTCGGGGCCTCTTAGGTTAGTCAGTTCTACACAAAAACTGGTTGTTGAAAAATGAGGGAGGCAAAGGAGGGGATTAGGCGTTCGGTCGGAGATCAGAACACTCAGGGGGGATGGGGTACGGTAGCTGGACATATGAGTGAATTGGAAGGTGGTCATGAAAAGCTAAATTGAAAGGCGGTGAGGGGAATTTCCGTTCAGGTTTTATGATATCATCCCTTTAAAGACATCACTCTGGAACGCATAGTAGTCTCCATATTACTGGTTATTCGAAATTTAGTCCGGTTCGAAAAATTTGCATTTTTCCACCCAGAAGAATCCGGAAATTCTGCCAGGGGTATTTAGTGGCCTTTCGTCGTCCGCTTGGTACCGGTGGTGTAATGGATTGCGAGTTTGGCTGTAAAGCTAACCATCCCTGGTTCGCCAGCGTGAGTTCAGAGTTCTAGCGGCCTTTAACAGCGGAAGGTATTGGTAGGTTGTCTCGAAGTATCCTAGGAAGATCTCATTTTAATCTGAAGACAGACAGATTGGGGCGATATTGTCACCCAGTTTGAAATGATCGGGGTGTTAGTGGGGTAATCTCAGGAAAGCGCCCTGCTTTGCTGGCCCCAAAAATTTTACTGGTAGGAATTACTATTTCTGGTGATTTTTGTTAGGTTCGATCACTACAGTGGTCAGACAAGATCTTAGAGACAGGTAGAAAGACTGAGAGAGAGAGAGCTAGAGAGAGAGAGAGAGAGAGAGAGAGAGAGAGGAAGAGCGCGAGAGTGAGAGAGAAAGCGAGAAAGAGAGAGAGAGAGAGAGGTAGAGAGAGCGAGAGAGGGAGAGAGGAAGAAAGCGAGAGTGAGAGGGCAAAGAGAGCTAGAGAGGGAGAGGGACAACAAGAGAGATAACCTCTAAAAACCTTACCAATCACTTTAACGAAATTTCACCCATCCAAATTTTTGTGTTTTATTCTCTGAGCTTCTTTCTGCAGCTCACCCACCAAAAACAATTGCACACCGCGACCAAAGCCACTTCTCTCCCCATAATTTTCTTCGATTCTTGCCCTTTTTCTGCACCTCGTGCTTCTTTACATGATGCTCAACGTTTGGCCTACGCTACAGTAGTCCGAGACTGGCAATTAATGGATGTAAATTTAGAATGGAGCCGACGATTGTGATGTGTGTGTTGCCGGTGGCGCTAGCAGCATTCGGGATCTTTGTGATGTCGAGGTACAGGGATAAATCGAAGCGTAGGGAATCATAAAACTAGGATCAGGTTTTTTTATGAGCATGAAGTGCTTCTAAATTTTTCCCATGAGCATGAGGTTTTTCTGGATTTTTCAAGGTCTTTCTAGACATTCTAAAGAACCATGTGTTCCATTTTTACTGACATTTCTTGTAAATCCTTCCCCACTTGCCTTTCAGCAAAGTCTCGTCATCCCCGTACGTAACCAACATAAATTACGCTCAAATCCGGTGCTAATTTCAGGCGCCGTAGGAGGGAGAAAGTCATCCGTGCTACCGTATACCGACCCCCATTCCAGCAATGTAAGTCGGATCTAGAATCTAGGGATTCCCTAGATCCTTCTCCCCGCAAGTGGTCAGTGGAATTTTAATTTTGAATTGAAATTGAAACGAAATTGAAAATAGTAAGCTCCCGGAATGGTCCCCGGGGATCGCGTGACGATTTCTGGCCACAAACACTTTGCCGAATTGAAGGCTCTAGGGGTGAGCAGAACAGGGTTTTCATTTATAAAAAGCGCGGCTATTACCCGGCCAGACGGTACGTGACTGGCGGGTTGAGGGAAACCATCGCGTCAAAATTCGGAATTAGTTAATTCAAATCGAGATTTGGATGCATTTTTTGAAGTAGTTCACTGTATTTCAAGTTTATGGTCTAGTAGTAATTCGGAGAACAGATTTGATGGTAATTTCTGGGGTCGTCATGTTTTTGGGAACGTGAGCGGAGTAAGCAAAATTTATTCGTTTTCCCACTATATCAAAAAATTGTTGCTAAGATTGCCTATAATCAGTTATTCACAAAATTTAATTAAAATCAAACTTTGTTAAAATCACGGTCAGAGCAGAATTTTATTAAAGGGCTGCCGATGGCAGGCGCAGAGACATTTTATTTTCCGCGCGTAACCGATTCACTATGCCGTCGGCATCCCTTTAAGTTTTTCCATCGAGATTTTGTAACAAAACGAAAAATGAGAACGTTACCAGACTTGGACCCGGCTACGTTTGACATCCGCGAAGCGGTTTTTCTCGATTTTTGCAGACCCCCTATTCAAAAACCTTTTCTTGAATTTACCATCAAACCAATAGCCTGCTTCGAACTTTCTGCGATGGTCGAGCGTGGGGGATGTGCCGGCTTAGAATTCGGAGGATTTCTGGATAGATTTCTGGATTCACTCTTCGCTGGTACACCACCTTAGTGGGGGTAACGGGCATTAGAAAGATTGTTTTCCAAGTAGACACTCAAAATTGAATCGAAAAAAGACGACTTAGTGGGGGCGACCTAGGATTCGGGGTAGGATTTGAACTTGCACCGTTGAGAACCTAATACCCTTGGTTTTTAGACCCGAGTGATCCACGGATGGCGTCGCAACAACCGGCCGCTCTGGCTGTGCATCCCTTTTCGGGATGTAAAGGTTTGGATTCGGATTATGATAAAAATATAGAGATGGTTGAAGTGGGGGGGGTTCTCAAAGTTTATCAAAACGGGTGGTACTGAAAGGTGACGTGAAAACCTTTCTAGCTTTTTTTTAAACAACTAACATCACTAATTTTACTGTGAGCTAATTGCTTCCTTACAAAGGAATAAGTAGAAATTTCACAGAAACATCAAAGTTTCATATTTAACACGAGATTTTGAAAACATTGTCGAATCCGGTCGACACCAAATGACATTTTTTTCAGATTCAAAAACCTTTCTTGAGATATACGGAAAGTCGCATCCAAATATATATACAAAAACACCATTTTTTTATATAGTAGCATTTTGCCCGAAGTTTCAAAAATCTTCCCAACCCTCAAGCGCTGATTTTACCGTACTTAATCGTAAAAATGCTGAAATTAACTAGACCTCCACGGCGTCAATTCCCAAAATAGCCGGGAATCATGATGATAATTGTGGCGAGAGGTGCTGATCCCCGCGTCCACATGGATCGGATTTTGAATGAATGCTGACGTCCACTAGTTTAATGGGGGGATCGTGGGAGTAGCCCCCGACGCTCGTTTTGGAGTCAAGCAATTTCTTGAAATCTGGGGGATTTGTGGAAGTGACAACTGGCACGGGGGAATGTGGTACAATTGAACTTGGGGAGATGTGTACGATTGTAATGCGCACAAAGCGTCAGCACGGTAAAGGATATCCTCGAATAATTGAAACATTCTTTGTCTTCCGGAAAAGGAATGGAAGGATCTCTGGCTTTGGGGTGGCTTGCCAAGTGCGTAGGCCTTCTGACAAGGAGGCGTGGTGTAAATTAGGTGGATTTATTTTGAAGATACAATGAACTTCTTCAAAAACCCCCACCCAAATCTCTATTTGAATTAACTAGTTCCTAAACCCAACCACCATCAACTTTGTCACGTACCGTCTGGCCCGGGTAATAGACACCCTTTTTATAAATGTTCTGCACACCCACTGTTCAGCTTTCAATTCGGTAAAGGGGTTGCGGGCTCGCAATGTTGCAAAAGTTACGAACGGATTAGGTCAGGAAACCCTGAAAAGTGGTTTATTTTGCGCGTTTTTTCGTCTTACAAGCAGTGCTTTTTTTAGTCATCGGCAAAGCCGTACGAAACCTAGCTCATTCGATACAGAATTCGATTCTGAACAAGGCTCCGTTTTCCTCTTTTGCGGAATCGCTGTCTCCGATTTTATAAAGTTAAAAAACTATTGGTCATCTCTTACCGCGGGTTCCCTTCGAGCGATTCGAGAGGGGCGGGTTTTATGGTGCAGTTTTACAATTTTATAAAATCAGGGATAGCCATTCCGTAAAAAGGACAACCGAGCCTTGTTCAGAATCAAATTCTCTATCAAATGAGCTTGGTTTCGTAAGGTTTAGCCGACGACTCCAAAAAAAGCACTCCGTGTTAGATCGTTCAGAGCATTCAGAAAATTCCGACTCCGTACTTTTGCTTCAAATATTAATCAGCGAAAAATTCTGCACAAGATAGAGAGGAAAACGTCTACCTGTAAAGTGAATTTCCAAAAATAAATCTCAAAATATCCAAATTTAGGCTCATCTATGGATCTCCACAATGCGAACATCGACCGCATGGCACCAAATGACGAACGGCTAGCCCCCGTCCAAATACCGATCATCGACACCCATCCACCACCCCATGAACCCGTCATCTGTTAACACATACCAGTGTACATAAATTTTACTATTTACACCAAAATCCCGTCCCAAACTTCACCACATACTATACCATTAAGACAAAACTGGACTCTGAGCATTTTTTCTACTGTTAATTATACTTTACCAATACTTTGCCAAGCCCCAATTTAGCCTGTGTTTCAAGAAAACGAGCATGACGCTTGTTTTCACGCATCTCGCTCGACAAGGAAGAGATCCTCGGATCACTGTAGACCCCCAAAAATTTCAACCCCGGATTGCTAGAAGCTGAATTTTTTCTCCCAAAATGACGACCACGAAAAAGTTATTGATTTCTGACGCATTGACATTCAAATTCTAGTGATATCTTTTTGACGTCGTGGACATTTAAGAAGCTGTTGACTCAAGCGGATACTAATTCCACTGACTGGCCCGCAGCTATTCCCGAAATGGAAGTGAAATGGAGCACGAAATTCGACGGCGCCCACCCGTGCTGGGGCCCATTCAAAGCACTCTTAAGAGGCAATATTTTCCTGAAGTCACGGCACCGTCTAGGGCTTAGGTTATTGTCTTGCAATTTCGGAAAAGTATTTGGGACTACGGTATGAACTTTGCAAGTGATGTTGAGCAGTTAGATCGGTGCGATCGGAACTTTTTTGAGATGGACCAAAATGCCACATTCTTCTATTTTAGTTTTCTGTTTTTTATCTTGATAAATTAATCAATAAAACGGGCTGACCTATAGTTCTAAGTTACTATTAGCTCGACCAGCTCCGCAATATTTGCCAGAGCAAAAAGTACTATTTGCTTACTTCGGAATTCCCACCAAAAGTTCGTCCAGTTTTTTCAGGGATCGCCAGAAAGTTGCTGTAGTCATTAGCCCTTTGGTACAACGTCTAAACCGCTGAAAACTTTTTCATATGCGCTGTTTTGATCCCGGGACTACGGTAGGCCGCAGACAGAACACACAGCTCACAAGGGAAGTGCACGACCGGCCCACGAGAAATTGACACGAGACATAGTGGATCTGATAGAATCGGACACGGGGATTCCGGAATCTGTAATCAGAATTTGCTAAATAAAACGGAGAAAAAAGTTATGAAGCTTCAAAGTTGGCAAAATCGCCCAAAATCGGACTTTTATGGGCCTGTAAAGGCCCAGGGGATTGGAAATTTGCCACAATCCATTAGTGCATCATGTTCAGCAGAAAAAGCGCTTTCGAATGAGCTATCTTACTTCAAGTTTACGATGATTTCGCGGAAATCTCTTCTATGGACTTGACAGGCCATACCCTTGCCCGTGAATCCAAAAAACCTTTTTCAGTGAATTGTTTGCAAATGGTACGTATTACAGCTCATTCGAAAGCGCTTTTTCTGCTGAACAAGCTGCACTAATTCTTTTCTCCTCAATTCCGTTCCCCCGGTTTTTACGGGCCCTTAAAGGTACGGTTTTTGGCGATTTTGCCAACTTTGAAGCTTCATAACTTTTTTCTCCGTTTTATTTAGCAAATTCTGATTACAGATTCGGAATCCCCCTGTCCGATTTTATCAGATCCACTATGTCTCGTGTCGATTTCTCGTTGGCCGGTCGTGCACTTCCCTTGTCAGTTCAGGGAAGCCTTGATCCAAAATTCTCGGCAGCCAGGCTTAATTGGGAATGTTTCAAAAAAACTGGTGAGGCGTGTAAATGAACTTAGATATTTTTATAAATGGAGGTGTTGTGGCCAAGAGGTTTGTTGTTATACTGAGTTTTAAGGCTAGTAGGCATTGCAAGAATATTTTTTGAAGACGTTTGATATCTCGAAAAGAGGCGTTTTTTAGTGTCCACGGAGTTTTCAGATTTTTCGCCGATCAAAATTTACCTTTAAAGTGTGAAAAATGCCCAAAAGCCAATTTTCCCGGTTTTTCGACCTTTAAAACGTCATCGCTTTCTTATTTTGGTCGTTACGCAGATTCTGAAAACGTGGTTTTAATCAGTAAAAAATTCTGCACTAAAACAGACCGGGGCCTATGTCGAAACGCGTTCGAACAGATCCGCTTCCTAAAGCCCTGAATCTACCAGTGACCAATCCTTGGCCAAAATCCAAATCTCAACCACCCCCAAAAACCCCGTGATACGCTTATTCCAAAGCGCCAAAGGCCGTCGTACTTAAATTTACGATCCAAGCCATAGTTCTTCGACCTGAACAGGTGATCCTCCACTCACTCTTAGATTCACCCTTCCACTCACTCGCCCAAAGCGGCTTATCGTATTCCTGAAAAACTTGAGTGAAGAAGGTGGTGGTAAGGGGGGAGGGAGGGGATATATCGGGGGCCTTTCAAAAGATAATACACACCGAAAGGGGTGGGCCCTTGAATTCACTGAAATAGTGTGAAAGAGTAAGAGTGCCGGGGGGCATCACATCCCCGCCCCTCTGCCTATAAAAGTAGCGGTCCAGATGGGTGAGGGATAGTCTTCTTCTACTGCTCCTTTTGGGGGATACGGTAGTCGAGACCCGGCCGTTTGTTTTCGCTATTGCTGGCCTCAATTCTTCTACAATTGGCATTCTGAACTTTCTTTAAAGCACCGGAAACGCCTGCCTCCAAATCATCCAAATTTTTCTTGGCGACCCGCATCAGTTAACGTGACCTTACAATGCGAGCCTGAACATTGAGCCACTGGCGCAAGAAATTACTGTGTTTTTCGCAATTTCTGGAAAAACCTTCTAGTTGTGCCAGTTTTGCGGTTCAACTGTCGTTGGAAAATTCTTTATCTTTCAGACTTCATTCATTCCGGTCTTGTCTTCCCAGTTATCATAACTTTTCTATATTCCAATTTTTCAGATGCATCTCCGGATACTCTGCATAATCTTGGCCCTCAGCATGGTGGATTCAATTTGCTGGTGAGTTTTGGAAACAGTGGAAACAATCGAAATTCAAAACAGCAACTCTATTTGTGTTTTTTTGGCCGCTTCATCCGCTTTATCCCGATCTACAACGGACAATGACATCGATGCATCCACCGAAGCCTACTCCTTTGACTTGACATCCGAGGAATCGAACGACTTCACGGACGATGCGAAGCGCTTCAACCACCCAATGCCCACGAAATATGATCGGAATTGCTGGTTCTCGCCGCTCGGATGCCTGTATCCGAAAGGTAAATCTTTCTACAGCTTGTGATTCTTACGGTGCTTCCGAAAAATTGTTTCTTGAAGCTCGCTCAAACACGCATGACAATTTGCCAAAAAGATCATCACATTACTCTCGAAAAATTGACCAGCTTTCTAAGAAATTTCGCGTTTCAAAGTTTTCCAAGACATGAAACATTTGGGGGAAAGGAGAAGCTAGGAGAAAACCTACAATTATGTAGCGTCACGAAGTTCACGGATAATACCAGGTTTCAAGTGACGCTTTTCCAGGAGTCGACGTGTCTACCTTCTCCGGCTCAAACGTTGAGAGCAAACACAAGAAACTGAGGCACAAGAAGAGAAGACGTGCCTTTATTGAGAATTGAATACCAACGCAGATCCTTTCTCAAATAGCTAAAAATTGTACCATATTGCTCGCTATATGTACAAATGTATTTTGTCTTACAAACACGGCTTCCACGCCTAAAACGGGTCACTTGGCAGGCTCAATTCCCCTCCTTTCATGTGATGTGTTTTATTGTGTGTTCGTTTTTAATGTTTGTACAGTAATGAGTATATAAAGAAATTATTCTTTAAAAATAGTATGAACAACACAGATATATGCAAAATACGGCAGTAATTCGAACAATAATATACTATAGCAGTTCAAACTGCTCAGAATTTCTCATGATTTTTTTAAATTTTAATTTGAATACAATTTACAGTTTTTCACTCATTAGATCTACAATAGTCTACAGCTGCAGAATTTATCTTATTAAAAGAAAATATTTGATTCTTAGGCATTTTCCTGACGATAGGGCAGCTATTTGTTATTGAGGCGGGGCTGAACGGTGTGCGGGGCGGGTTATTGTTGTTTTTTCCGGTTTTGGCTATCAGCCACCGGCATCAGCTGATTCGTGAACCGGCTCCTCGTTCAGACGGGTCGATGAACCGAACTGTCACTTTAGAACGTTCCTTGCTGTAGTTCTTTCTCTCTCAAATCTTTTCCCAATCTCTGACAGGGCTGGTATGGGGTTCAAATTTTTCCCTGGTTATTTTAAAATTAAGGTCTAGGGAAATATTCAAATCCGAATTTTTTAAATTTCATGCAGCAAATGGAGCTTCCAAAAGATTTTCGAATCATCCGCTTTTTTAAGCACTAAGGAAAGGTTTTGCCGTCATTTTTTTGCCATAAGCCAACATTTTAAAAAACCTAGCTTTAATCAATTATTTTATTTTTACAAGGAGCTTGGATCGAATTTCCCTAGTGGTATTTCTTTTGGACTTTTTAGACATTTCACCTTCCGAGGACTTTAATGTATCCGTTCTCAGCACTTTCTCTAGCCCACCTGACGCGCCAGCGGAAGTTTATGACCCAATTTTTTTTAGCTGCCCAGTTCAATCTTCGTTCTAACTTTCGCCTGATGTTAGTTCACCTCAACGGTCGGCCTAACCCTCTACTTTCACCGCCATTTCGAACACCTGATTCCGGTAAAATCGATGGCCGATTTCCGGGGAGGTGCCAGCCGGCGGGATGGAAGGGCGATTCCAGTTCTGCAGTCCCCTCACCCAGTAAACAACTCCGACCCTCCGTTATCGCACCTCAGACTCTCCATGACAATCCCCCTCTCACACCTTACTCCTAAAAGTTATTCCAATTACCGTAGTCATACGGTGGTTGAAAATAATACCACTAGGTCAGTAACAGTATAGTAGTCAGTCAGCTTTCAGTTTATAAACCCAAATTCTGGAGCACGAGACACCACCATGAACAGAACACCCTCGGGCTGCTCGGAAGCTTTTCTGCAATTATAAGAGGTTTTCCCGCCAATTTTCCCGCTTTGGTGCGCAGATACACCTCTCATTAGTGCATCGATGATTATGTGTTTATCGTATACTAATTTCATAAAATTTGTAGATACTGTAAGATTAGTATAAAATTAGCATTTTCAGACGCACATCGAAGCTCTCGTAGCACTTGTCGGACTGCGCACATTAAAAAACCCTCCAAACAACGCTTTTTTTTATTTCACCCATAAACTGATTTAGATCTTACTACCACCGCAAAAAAACAGTATAGTAATCCCTCCCTTTCCTAGAATTTTCATAGTTTTTCGTGTACTGCCTTATAAAAAAGGCCAGCCTGGATGCATGTGACATCTTTTTTTGGCGTTGCACCCAGCCGAAATAATCTTTCTGGTTTCTGTCCGGCATCACGCCGGTCACTCGACCTCCACGCATACAGAGACAACTTTGCATTTTGATAACCTGCCCATCAGCTGCTTCGGGGCTTTTCCTTGTTCATAGCTATCATTTCATCCATTCAGCGTTTTCTAGTTTTTTTGTACAAATCAATTTTGGAGTTTTAGAAATCGCAGGCATGGTTGATGTTGAACCAGAAGAGCTAATATTTCGAGGTACGGTAAAACTTTTTTAGGTTCTGTCGCATTATCGGGGGTAAGACCGAACTTTTTCTACGTCTTGTAACGTCTAATAACTTCATAGGATATATTTTTTGGTATTCCTAGTAAAATATAACTATATTTAAACTAAAAATAACTTCCTAAAAAATTCCAAACAATTTTGAAAATCGAACGCTTGGTCAAAAATTGGCCATTTTTGTCGGAAAATCGATATTTTGATATGTTTTAATAGAAATTCGTAAAGTTTACACATTTAGAGTTAGAAAAAAACGTGTAAAACACTGGCGTTATTTATATTTGAAAATATTTATTCTAAGCAATAAGAGTTGGTCCCACGATAACCCCCCGATCATGCGCATGAACGATCGATTTAAGATACGGTTTATGTCCCATTTTCAGGCGTCACAGCGGGCTCCCCACACAAAATGACCGCTTCCTTAAAAGTGCACAACCCAACCCCATCACAATGTTCTAGAGAGTCTATTCATCACATTCCGTATACTATTCACTTTATGTCAGCCCGGTATCAGGTAGCAATTTGAGAAACTTTTCGAACAAATCGCTCAGGCAAACTTCTACCCGGCCAATCCGTAGAAATCAAGGTTTCAGTAGCTCCGTAATTGTTGCCTCCGTACTCCTCTCAGCACAGCCCGCTCCATTTTGTACTCCAGAGTGGCAACTTCTTCCGCTGGGATTCGGATATGCGCGTTTTTTGGAGGGTTGGTTCAGAAAGGCTGGGCTTTTGTTACAGTATTATTTGGTTTAGTATGTCGATCGCTGGACATTGTTGAGATGCCGAGTAGAGTACAGGCTCGTGCACCGCTTTTGAGGAAGATGTTTGGGTACGACAACCCTCCGTAGTTATTTATATATGACTTTTCAAGAATTTCCATGATGCTGAAGCGTCGTCCAGCGAAAACGATGCGGTGAAAAGGAAAAACGAAAGAGGTGGACGAAAAAAGTGGAAAAGCGGTTGGTTCTAGATCCTCAAAAAAAGTACTGCTTTTTGGCCTCTTTTTGCAAATCAAATTTGCAAAGAACACGGCGACATCAACAAAACAATATTTTTATAGGGTTTGTCTCTTGCGGAAGAAGCCCGTCTTGACGTCATCATACGCCTTATCACGGTGTGTTCATGCTTTCGTGCTTTCTTACCGACCCATTGACCGAACTCCGGTGCGCCCCGAGACCAAAGCTTTAATTTGAAAATGATCCTAAGGTGGCACTCCTAATTTTGTGTGTTATAGGAAAATCGATCCCCTTCGTGCACGAGTACTCTCCCTAGAAAAAGCAGAGACTATTACGATCAGGTTTGACGCAAAACTTTTTCCGAAAGTGTTTGTTTTAGGTTCTACGGCGACACACTGGGAGCTTGTCGAAGAAAATTCACGACTCCGCAGTCGGGTGGATAAACTTGAGATCTCCCAGGTCCCATTTGATTACTGTGTTTGCTTGGAAGAGAAGGTGAGGTTGCTTTCGGTTTCCCGAAAGCGCAAAAATTCCAGCCGAATACAATTTTGTATCCGTGCCGTCATATCGTCATGTGTCAGGAATTGTGCTTCAAATTCGGGAAGTCGCTGTCCGATGTGTCATTACCGGCATCACACAAAAAGCTGCTGTATATTTTGCGGTTTAGAGCCCCATTGACCGATTTTTTGATCTGCGACGTGCTAAAATTTTGTGCTGGCTCGTGATAATTGTCGCTCTCTTTTCCCGATCTTTCTCCCCTCAATTCTCATTTATGGATTCGGGTCATGAGGAAAACCCTGCTTCCGGATTACTGTGAGTTTATAAATGTGGATATAATTAATAAATATATATGCGAAAATAAAGGGTTTTGTATTGCTTTTGCACAACGTTTGGCACTGAGATGTATGAATGGCAAGCAGACTCCAGACTTTCATTGAAAAAGAGGCTCCTCAGTGCTCAAAAATGGCTTAAATACCGGTATCTGGGTCTCTACTTTTTATTCCATCAGGACAAAGTAATAATATT